GAGGCAGAGGGAGAAGCAGGCTCCCAAGGAGCAGGGAGCCCGATGCGGGACTCGATCCCAGGACCCTGGGATCATGACCTGAGCCGAAGGCATACGCTCAACCATCTGAGCCACCCAGGCGCCCATGAAATTATTTTTATTCAGTATGTCAAGATATGTCCTAGTTCCCATCTCCACATTTAAAAGAATATATTTTACCTTCAGATACCTTTTGTACTTCTTTGGATCCTTGGATATATGAACATTTTGGGTCTTTTTAACTCATTCTTTTCCAGCTATTGAGTTGTCCTTGAAGGAACAAAGGCAGCAGTCAACCGCCCTTTCTACTTTGTACCCAAGCACATCCAATCTCTTAACTAACCACCAACATGAAGGCCGAAAAGTTCGTGCTATATATGACTTTGAAGCTGCTGAAGATAATGAACTTACTTTTAAAGCTGGAGAAATAATTACAGTTCTTGATGACAGGTGATGGATAATATCAAATTGATATTAAGTTGACATTCATATGAAAATATATAACATATTACTTCTGTGTTTCGTATTAATCCTGTTGAATGCCATTACCAAAGGTAATAAGAAAAAATATTCATGCAGGTATTTCCTGTGTGTGACAGTTTGATTGCTTTGCTTGTATCATACTGTCTGGATTCTTATTTTGGGGGTTAATTTTTTTTCTTATCTCTAAGTTTTTGTTTTGGAGGTCTAGTTTATTCATTTTTGTTCCATCTAATAATATAAATTATTAAATTAGTAAAGTTAAGATTTTAGAAAATATGCCAAATATGTCTATGTATTTATGGAATTTGTTAGAAATGCGTAATATATTGAACTTATTTATTAACAAAAAATAGTAAATCCATGGGTCAAATTCATTTTACTTGGAATTATATACATTTACATTATTATGGGAGGTGATTCAGTACCTCTGTTTTTTTTTATTTTTTTTTTAATTTTTTATTGTTATGTTAATCACCATACATTACATCATTAGTTTTTGATGTAGGGTTCCATGATTCAATGTTTGCGTATAACACCCAGTGCCCCATGCAGAATGTGCTCTCCTTAACCCCATCACCAGGCTAACCCATCCCCCCACCCCCCTCCCTTCTAGAAGCCTCAGTTTGTTTTTCAGAGTCCATTGTCTCTAATGATTCGTGTCCCCCTCCAGTTTCCCCCACCTCATTCTTCCCCTCCTGCTATCTTTTTTTTTTCTTAGCATTATTTGTTTCAGAGGTACAGATCTGTGATTCAACACTCTTGCACAATTCACAGTGCTCACCATAGCACATACCCTGCCCAATGTCTATCACCCAGCCACCCCATCCCTCCCACCCCACCCCCACTCCAGCAACCCTCAGTTTATTTCCCGAG